CTTCTGGAAAGCACTTATCATGTTAGATGTCATTAAGACCATTTGTGTTTCATTGGAGAAGGTAGAAATATCAATATTAACAAGGGTTTGGAAGAGCTTCTTTCCAACTTTCAGAGATGACTTTGAGGAATTCAAGATTTCAGTGGAGAAAGTAAATGGAGATGTGTTAGAAATAGCAAGAAAGCCAGAATCAGAAGTGAAGCCTGAAGCTGTGGCTGAATTGCAGCAATCTCATGATAAAACTTGAATGAGGAGTTGCTTCTTATGCATGAGCAAAGAAAGTTATTTGAGATAAAATTCACCCTTGGTAAAGGTGCTATGAACATTTTTGAAATGACAACAAAGGATTTTGAATATTCCATAAACTTAGTTAACAAAGCAGTGGCAAGTTTTGAGAGGGTTGACTCCAATTTTGAAAGAATTCCTACTATGGGTAAAATGCTATCAAACAACATTGTGTGCTGGAAGAACTCTTTCATGAAAAAAAAAAAAAAAAAAAAGTAAGTTGATGAAGCAAGTTTCATTGTTGTCTTACTTTGAGACATTTCCACAGCCACTCCAGCCTTCAGTAATCACCACCTAATCAGTCAGCAGCCACATCATCAAGGCAAGACCCTTTATGAGCAAAACAATTATGACTCTCAAGAGGTTGGATAATTATTTGTATTTTCTGCAATAAACTATTTTTTAATTAACAAATGTACATTGTTTTGTTAGATACAATGTTATTTCACATTAAATAAACTAGAGTATAGTGTAAACACAAGTTTTACATGTACTGAGAGACCAAAAAATGTGTGACTTGTTTTATTGTGATATTTGCTGTAATGTGGTACTCTGGTACTGAACTTACAGTATCTCCGGGGTATGCCTGTGGTAGCAAGAAAAAAAATTGAGATAAAAGATGGGAGATGGGTGGATGCAATGTAAAGGCAAGTTGGTGTATTATATGAAGTAGAGAGGGTAGTGGTTTTTCAGACATCAAGATATCAGATGAAAGTTCACTTGATGTTGATCTGAGCTGGAATAGTCACTGATTCAGGTTAGCAGGGAGAAAAGAGCCATAGATAATGAAGAATCACTGCTGGAAAATTGTGATAGTAATAGCTTTAAAAAAAATGTACTTTATCTAGAAAGTGAAGATGAGTAGCTAGAAATCTCATTAGATATCATTATTTCATTAAAAACTGTCATCTCCTTCGCTGATATTTTATTCTACCAATATTAAATTATGAATTATTTAATGATTTCCCTTTAATATATCTTAACACAAAAAATTTGTCTAGTTTGTGCTTTCTCCCGTTTTCATGAATATGAAGCTCAGAATTGTTTTAGCAAATAATGCTACAGCAAAAATAAATATTGCAATAATGCATAAACCATGATGTTATAAAATATTTTTATTCATGCCCATGGTTTTTATTTAAAAAAAGTAGTTACTCATATTGCCATTTTATGCACTTGCCCCCTTTTTATCTTATTCATTTGAGGTTACAGGGAACTGGCTTGGCCACTTTATATTGTTGATGAGGTCACTAACCTTCTCCCCATTGGCCAATTTGACATTACATGAAAGATTACATAAGGTCAAAAGGTAAACCTATAACCAGTAAGCAACAGGGAAGGCTCTTGAACACTGTGGTTACAAATCATATGCTACATAACATGCTTAAGATGTGTTATGCCCTGTAGAAAGGGCTTTCAGTTGGTCCTGAAAGGCAAGAAAAGAGAAGACAGAAATTTGAATGTAAGGAATATCACAAAGGATGAAAGACTAATATTATTTTTAAAATATCACTCACACTCCAGACGTGTGATATTTCAGGGAGTTTGGGATCAATTTAAATAACAAAAATTTGATTTCTTAATAAAGAATCCTCAGTGACTTGTTTTTCCTCCCCTTAATATTGCCTATTTTATGTCCTGTATTTCACGTGTACTACACTGACAATAATATGATTCATAGGCTGAAATGGAGAGAATATTAGTTAATGCCTAGCGAATTCAAATACATATGTAAACAAGAATCTTTTTTGTCATTGAAACATTAACTTTTCCACTGGAAAGGCAAGAATTAAAGAATTTGTGGAGCAAAAATATCTTACAGATGCTGTGGCTTGAGATCTTTATTTTACAAAGAAAAACATTAGAGTCCAGAGAATTTAAAGGATTTGTATTGAATAGAGGACATTGATAAACTAGATCTCAGTTCAGTGGTATTGTTTAGCAGTAATATTCTAATCAAAAGCGGATAAGCATGCTGTTAAAGGTACCAATCTTGCAAGTGTGGAAGCTGCAGAATTCTTGCTATAAATTGCCAAACGCTATTGCAGTGACAAGAATGGTCCTGTTTCCCTAGAAGAACTTCTATGTTGTGATTGGGTATTGTTGCTAGTTTTCTGCCTCTGAGGCCCTATCAGGTTTCCATAAAATATTCAATGTCATTTACCAAATCTCTGCTTTTTTTTTTTTGTGACTAAGATCAATGAACCATATAATTATTTTTTTTTTAACTTGTACTATGAAATAACTATGCCTCACGCTGTGAAGAATAAAAGATGTAGATAATTAATGACTCTTGGGCACATAAACTCTACTAAAATATACGATACATAAATTACTAAAATTAAGAATATCATGTTAAGGGTTGTAAAAAATGACGAAAGCAAAAAATGATGCTTTAAGAATTTAAAGAAAAGAGAGTATGTTAACATGAGTAGTAGTTCTTAAAACTTAATGTGGCATTGCATTTTTCTGAAATGTTCATGGAGAGTGCAGATTTCTGTGCTCCATTTACAACCAGAGATCATAATACTTTTATGTGTATTGGGTGGGACTCAGGAATTTACATTTCTATTAAGACTGCAGGTGTTTCTGATGAAGCTGGTACCTTAACTCCACCTATTAAAAACAATAAGGAGTCAGAAAAATTTTAGGAAGAATATAATTATTAGAAATCATGCTTTTCAGTTTTTTCAAAGTTTTCTTTGATGACCTTAATGTCCCATTTGCTTTTGCCTTTTCTATATGTTGTATGATTTATGTTTCCAGGTATGATATGGTATCATCGTAAATAAAACAATAAAATGATACTAGATATCTCATGGAAACCTAGCAGGGCCTTAGAGCCAAGTGTTACAAAATTAAAGGATAGCTAGAATCCCAAAGAATAGAATTATATCAACCTAGGCAATATCATATTCATATAATAACAGTCTCATTATCTATCTTTACATTTCTTTTTGCGTAAATCAATGCTAGTCCAACTCCTACTTACCGTTCGCATTAGGCCATGCTTGCATTGCTATAAAGAAATACCTGAGATTGCAAAATTTATAAAGAAAAGAAGTTTAATTTACTCACAGTTCTGCATGCTTTACAGAAAGCATGATTCCTCAGGAAGTTTCCAATCATGATGGAAGATGAAGGGGAGGAAGGCATTTCACATGGTGAAAGCAGGTGCAAGAGAGAGTGGGAGGAGGTGCCACACACTTGTAAACAACCACATCAAATGTGAAGTTACTCATCACCAGGGGATGGCACTAAGCCATTCATGAGAGATACACCTTCTTGATCCAGATCCTGGTTATGACCTTGAACCAGGCCCCACTTGAACTCTGGGGATTACATTTCAATATGGGATTTGGTGGGAACATAGTTCTAAAACATATCACCCCCCCACACACTTTATTTTGATCTGTCAATATAGGTCAGATTATAAAGCAATGAAATCAAACACCTAAGTCTCAATGGTTTAATTCTGTAGAAGATTGATTCCTTACTCATGCTACCTATCAAGTGTAAATCAAAGGAGGGTTCTGATGAATTGATGCTGATGGGGCAGCCGCTTCATGAAATGGCAATGGTCTGATTCTAAATATTCTGCCCAAATGTTCCCCGCCCCCCAAAACAAGTCACCTGCTACTCTGGCTTTAAATGGGCAGAAATATGGAATGTTATCACATTCTCAGAAAAAATAGAGGCAGCATATTTGTGAACAACCTGCCTAAAAGATGATTGCAAATTCTCTTAACTAATCTTTCTGACTCTAAGTTTCTCCTTTAAAATCCATTCTATAACCTATGGACACATTAATCCACTTAAAACAACACTGACTACTTTGTTCTTTCCCAGAAAACTTCAAAGCACCTCACTATCTATTTAATATGACACAATATTATTAGAATGATAGTTGAAGCCCTCTATATCATTGCTTCTTACATGACTCTAACTCATTGTCTAGCACTTACCTTACACGAAATCTGTAATTCAAGAAATTTGCACTGTTAACTATTCTTCAACAAAATTTTTGTGTGAGGAGTTGTCAACAGTACAAATATCATTTATTGTCAAAAAATAAACATGGTTATTACTAACTCCACTTCTTCACTTACATTTCCTGGGAACCTGGATTTAGACTTAACTAACACTGATTAAGTAGAGAATATATTAGATAAATTTCTCCTATAGTAATTATTTTGTCCTCATACCTACTCATCAATCTACTAGCAATTCTTTAGTCTCCATTTTCTTGCTTTAAAAAGCCTTCCCAGAGGTTCAAAATTAGTTGTGATCCTAATTTTGTCATAATCTTTAAGGTCTTGGCATAAAGTTGTATTTTAATAACATGTACGCTTCCTTTTGATATAAATATTTGGCTATATATCTAATCTTCAGATGAAAAATGCAAACTTTTGTGGGTTTAGATGGAATTGCTTTTAAGTTATCTTTCATGTAGCACTGTGCAAATAATGGCACTTACTAAAAAAGTGTTTAATTGAATTGTCAAAATAATTTATATAACAGCATCTGAGCACCAACTAATGACCAATTTCACCTTGGAAATTAGTTTGTGCTTTTGAAATAATTATTTTATGATTTGGGAATTCATTAAAGCATTGTTACAGGGTGATCATTAACATTTTCCCATATAATCAAATATGTAAGCTAGTAAATACAATTCTGAGTAGAAACACACACACACACAGATGGAGATCTAATGATGTATAATTTTCATTTTTATTTAGATTTCTGAGTTTGTTAGGGAGTGATATAGAACGGAGGGTACATTTAGCATAGTTCTCTTAGGTTTGATAAGTAGGACTCTCATTTGCAGCCTATCTGAAAAATTCTTCATTTGGGTTTCAAAATAGTTATTTGCTGAGCTGCCAACAAAAGGAAAAGACAGTGCGGTCAGCCACCAGATGGTAAATTATTTCAACTCAGCGTCACATTTATTCATAACATTCAGGTTATCACATGAAGCAAAAATGGCCACAGTGGATTTTATTTTACTGCTTATAAGGAGCTCCTCTATTTTTTGAGGATTATATTTTTCCCTTGGTGTATTTTAAGCACACATTATCCCTTAAAAGGCTTTCTGCAGCTCATTCAAAGCACTTGCCATTCCCCCCTTTTCAGGCACCTATTATTGAGGTTATCACTGGTAATAGCAGTCAGATTAATGTATAATTCTCACACGTATAATAGAACAAATAAGATAGACTCAGAATTTGAGGGTCATGCTGTTCTTGAGTTTATGGTATGATTTCTTTTTTTCTCCCTAAAGCGTGATATCTATCTTTACAGAAGGAACACTACTCAGTTTTTATAGAATGGAGGAGTTTTTCTGTCAAGGAAATTTAGACATCTCAGAATTCATAAGAAATTTTACATTCTCTTAAGAAATTGTATAGTAATTTTATTGTATTACCTTAAAAGAAAGTGAGTTAATAATGGCTGATTTTATGCCATATAGATGTTAATTTATATACAGAAACTGTGTACTAGTGATGAATTCCTGTTAAACCAATTATGTTATCTACAGCAGCATTCAATATAGGTGAGCAATATTCATTACCAGGCCAAGAGCAGATGTGATAGAACCATCTAGAGTTATGTTTACAGATGAGACAAAACAGAGACAAAGATACCATAAGAGATATGAAAGATGTTGACAGACCCCTCATTTTTTTTTCTCCTGCAGAAGTCTTTCTTCATCCACATTGAAGCTTTCTCTTCCTTATGCCCTGTTAGGCTCCAGTAGCCACCAATCCCAAGCAGGCCTTTCTAATTTGTTTAAACTGGAAGGAAGAAAAATATATGCAGATTTTCTCTGGGGTTGAATATTTGATAGTTCCCTGATGTTCAATCAAGTTGAATAAGCAAGTAAGCTGTGACAGAGAATAAAACTCACAAAAAGAAGTAAAGATGAGAGACAAAGTGCTGGCAGCATCTTAGTTGCTGAATCCCATTTTTCCTAAGATTCAGCTGTATTCTTTCCTTCATATGGTTTGATTGCAAACTATTCTGTGGATCACATGAGCCAATTAATTTTCCTTTTGTTCAAACTACTTACAGTATTTAGAAACCAATAACTCACAATAAAGAGCTTTTGAACAAGATATAACTTAATGGGACTGGAAGAAGCTGGATGGAACTAAAAACTGAAGCAATATCACTTGATATGAGCACCAGTGCTTAAGAATTAACTAAATATCATGTTTTCATCAACCTAATAAAATAAACTGTAATGAGCAAAATAATAAAGAGAAAGGAGACTGTGATGGGTTGGATTATTTGTTAGTGATACTCCACCTCTTTTGGAGGATGAACTATATAGATCCCTACCCTACTGCTTTGGCCAATGGAATGTTCATGGCTATGTTGTGATCAGAGATTTTGACCTGTTGTCTTTTGTTCCTTAGAACCATCAAGAGAAGGTTATGTTCTCTATATCTTACTTGTCCATGAACAATGTAATAACAATTGGAACTGATTTGAAATTAACTCAAAAGCAGAAGCTGAGCTACTTCAACAAACATGCAGACCATTAGAGATAAAAATAAATATTGATTGTTGTAAGCTACCGAGTTTTGAGGTGGTTGGTTATACAATCCTTATTTTGGCAATAACTGACTAACACATGGTTAATACAATAAAGAAATTAAAAGCAAAGCAGGCACTAGTATGAGTGACAGACAACAGAAAAATGAACCAAAAGAGAGGATGAAAAACATGGGAAACCAAAAAGAATTGCAAATAAAAAGCAAATGAGGCAAGATGAAATATAATGAGCAGTAGAAAAAAAAGAAAAAATAAAATTTCAGTAAGTAAATTCAGCGGGCTGATAGTTATAGGAATAGAAGAAGCAGACTGATTATAATGTACAGAAAAAAAAAACTGTGAAATGTTTGATAGAGACAGCAGGATTTTGTACCTTGAGTGAAACGTAAGAGCCCGATAAGTTAATATTTAGAGCAAAAGCTCATGGGGTGAGCTAAAAATACTTTAGAAATACTATACATTAGGTGCACAATTGAAGAAAAGTGAGAAGCACATGATATGCTGGGAAAATATGTTTTGGTTAGTATCAAATAGTTTAATTACCATTACCTAATATTCTTTCATTTCTTGGAATTCTGATCCTTCAAATTATCTTGAACTCACACCTACAATAAATACTCAAATTTTAGAGAACATCCTACTCAAACAAAATAGGTTAAACAATAATAGAATGTGTAGACTTTATTGAGAACACTCAAAACATTTGCATTGATGATGTAATGATGATGTAACTTTGAAAGTTCTAATTTCAAAATTTCATCTTGCAAATTAAATTTTCTCTATTTGAAAGAAAAGTAATTCCCTAGTATAAAAAAAGGGGGGGAAAGGAAGGAAGGAAGGAAGGAAGGAAGGAAGGAAGGAAGGAAGGAAGGAAGGAAGGAAGGAAGGAAGGAACTAGATCCATACTGGTCAACGGTCAGAGAGTCTATGCTGATTTATGAACTTTATGAATCCAAAGTCACTTTTGCTTTGGTCTGTAAGTCCAGACTTGATTAAAGTCTTGATTTATTAGATTTGTCTCCATAAATAGAATAGAAAAGTAAAGCTAATGGTATTTAGGTGCTCTTTTTTCTGCCCGGGTTTTAAAGGAAATAGTCTACAAAGATATGAAGTGCCCAGTTTTTGTGAAATAGATTTTAGGAGAAGAACTAGTAAGAAGCTCCTTCTGTTTTGATGAACAGGAGTGGGAATGCGTACATGGAGCTGTGGTACGGTAGTGTTTTTTAGCTCAGCTCACAATGTTGGACTACTGGGGCACATATTACAGTCACATGCATGCGGTTCTAACCAAAGGTTAATTAGTTTGGCTTTTATAGGTTAAAAAAGAGGGAATATACATAGTTAAACCAGAGTGTAGAAACAGCTAATAGCATTGCACTGACTATCTCAAGAGGAAGATCCTTCCACAGTAAGTCCAGAAGAGCCTTCCACAGTAACTCCAAGGAAGTAATTTTCATATATACCTCTTTCTTTGTTATCCATCCATCCAATACATAGGCTAGTCTTCTTAGTGCCAATTGTTTAAAGGTCTTTGTCAAGAGAACCAAGAAGATAGTCCAAAAGAATTGATTCTTTGAGAAAATAATTGCACATTTCAAACATATGGCTATTTTGTATCAAGTAGCTTAATATATAGGCATTATAAGGATATTTTTTTCTGTACTGAATTTGATAATTGTTGCATTAAATTTTTCCTCAGAAAAGAAAAAATAATCTCAAGAATAAAACTCAAAGGAGATTTAGACTGAAAATTTTAGAAAATCTATTTAGTATCAGATATTTTTTCTCTTACAGATAGTATGAATTAGAACTTTGTTGTTTTCTTAAAGAAAGTGTCATAGCCATCACTATTTCTGACATTTTAATTGAATATTTTATGAATGTATGGCATATGGTAGTCGGTTCTGCACATAGAGAGCTGCCAGTAATTATTAAACTTTATTGTAAATAATTCAAGTATCATTCACCATATTAATATTTAAATTTGTAAAGAAAATGAGTTAAAAGAAGCTCAAAATGGGTTTAATGTAATGGCTAACACATAGTAGGCACACAATTACTTTATCTGGAGCAAAAATTGTGCCACCAACTCCTCCTCTTATTCTTTCTCAGCAAGCTCAATGTAAAGACAACGAAGATGATGATGTTTATGATGATCCATTTCCACTTATAATTTTCCTAATAACATTTTTAGCTTACTTTAAGAATACAGTATATACTATATATAACATACAAAATATATGTTGACTGTTTATGTTATTAGTAAGGCTTCCAGTCAACAGTAGGCTACTAGTAGTTAAGTTTTAGAGGAGCCAAAAGCTATATGCAATTTTTAACTGTGCCCCTAACATCTGTATTATCCAAGAGTTGACTGTATTTCTAAGCTAGCAAACTAGTCTGCTATGGTTTCAAGTATGCTAGCAGAAGACACACTACTCATTGATCACAAAAGGGTAAAGGACATTATTACTCATTCGCTGCACAGCAAGCAGATAGCAGCATGATCGTCATATGCATGCGGTTTCTCCCTGTTTCTTGTACCCTATAGGAGCGATATGGGTGTGCCTAAGTGGCTGCTGTGCAGGCAATAGGTTTGCATTAGTTGAAGAACTCTAAGTTTAGAGAATCCTGGCATTATGAACTGAATCGTGTCTTCCAAAATTTATATGTTGAAGCCCTAACCCCGAATGTGACTGTATTTAGAAATAAGGCCTTTGGGGTGCTAATTAAAATTAAATGCGGCCACAAGGGTGGGACTCTAATCTGATAGGCTTAATGTCCTTATGAGTAGAGAAAGAAACATCAGAAATCTTGGTCTCTGTGTAAGCACAGAGGAAATGCCATGTTGGGACAAAAGAGTGTAGCTGTCTACAAACTAGGAAGCGAGTCCTCACCAGAAGCTGAGTTTGCTGGCACCTTGCTCATGGGTTTCTAGCTTTCAAACCATGAGAAAATGAATGTCTGTTGTTTAAACCACCTAGCCTGTGCTATTTTGTTATGGTAGCCTGAGTCAACTAATAAACTCAGCCTTTAAAACTTAACTAAATTTTAATTCAATTAAAGTAATGAGCTCCAAACGATTCTGCCCCACTGTTGTCCTATAACGATAAATTATACTAGTCAATAAACAAACTTGTCCTCTGCTCTAGAGGGAGACACATCGTATTTTCTATGGGTGTTTAGTATGCAACACCTCTGCAAACACAGTCCAGAGTAAAAGTCGTCAGTGGTCATAAGAGTTGTAGAAAGAGAAGAGACCCATAAAGAGTTGCTTCCCCAGGAGATGCAGGTGCTGCATTCGGGATTTTAGTCAAGAGAGAGAGAAGAGAGGTTATATGTAAATTTAGTTCTAGAACTTTTAGGACTTGAACAAATGAGGGTCTTCTACATATGTTTATATCCCATCATTGCACTAATCTACCAAGAAAGCTATATTTTGTTGATCCCTTATTGAACACATAAACCATTCATTCTCTCACTCATCAATTCTTATATTCATTCAATAATATTTACTGAGCACCTACTCAATAGTGAATATTTCATTAGTGAAAAATAAAAAGAGAAATATGACATGGTCTCCGTTTATATAACACTATATAAACAATATGGAAGACTAGATAAAGGTAACAACTCAGAAAAAAAAATTAAGATGCTAAATGTGTTATTAGAAGTCTTTTGGGCAAGTTTAAGAAAAAAAAAAAAAGCGGGTATTATTGGCTCATTAATTGCCTCAAGCCAGAGGGTGTATGGCCTGAAATATAAATCAATTCAGAGGCTATGGATGATGTGAGGATTCTGTATCTTTACATTTCTTTGCCTTATAATTTTTCAGAGATTGTTTTTATTCTGCAGATAGTTAAATTCATTTGAACAAGAGAAAGGGACACTAGCCGCTTCAGGCTTACCTGATTTGTGAGCCAAATAACTATATTTATTAATAGCCAAAGAAAGACATCTGTGAAAGTGAAAATGGAAAATGGGTGCTATTAATAACTATTCCAAGAAAAGATGTATAAAACAGAACATTCCTAGGAAATCTGGAGTGTATGTTTACCCTATACAGAGCCCACTACCCTAAAGGAAGAGAAACTCTTTCTGTCCCATCAACCTCTTATTAACCTTTTCGGAAGCTGGTAATGGACTAATGTGCTATCCTGGAAACAATGACTGTAACAGAGAGAATGGAGTCCCGTGATTACATCATCTGTTTCTTTCCCCCCACTTTTTTTTTTTCTGAGACGCAGTCTCACTCTGTCGCCCAGGCTGGAGTGCAGTGGCGCAATCTTGGCTCACTGGGCTCACTGCAACCTCCGCCTCCCAGGTTCCAGCAATTCTCCTGCCTCAGCCTCTGGAGTAGCTGGAACTACAGGTGCCCACCACCACGCTCGGCTAATTTTTGTATTTTTAGTAGAGACGGGGATTCACTACGTTGGCAAGGATGGTTTCTATCTCTTCACCTCGTGATCCACCAGCCTTGGCCTCCCAAAGTGCTGGGATTACAGGCGTGGGTCACCACGCCCGGCCCGCTCTCTCTTTTTCTAACTATATGCTTCTCTCAGAGCCTCCAACCTCTTTTCAGTTTAGAGGAATCATTTAACCTTTACTTTCTTGTTTGATAAAACCTGTTTCTGGCTCCATCTTAGAAGGACTATGGTAGATTCTTATACTTACAGTATAGCATTTATGATATATACTGCCACATGGAATAACATAGTAAGTCATTATGATGAAAAACCTCCTCCTTACCGGTGAAAATGAGACAGAATGAAAGGAATAAAGGTATCAGACCATTCCATTCTATCACACATGCACATTCATACCTGCACAAACACACACATGTGCGCACACACATTTGTATTTTGGTCTATTGATCTTAAACCGTAGTTTCAAATTATTTTATCAGGCTGATAGATAGAACCAGAACTAAGCATTGATTCTTAAATGATTTATTTTCTGGAAGCCAAAATAATGGATCTAAAATTGAGCTTGGAGATATTACCATTTTGTTAAAGATAAATGAGAGCTGTGATGATAATAATTTATCAGTTGCTATAATCATCCAAATGTGTCACTGCAAACACATTTTCATACAATTTACTTATATTCACACAATTTCCTACTCTTATCTTTATTATTAACAAGAAGTCCTCTTGTTCAAAATGTCAACTAATCACCTTCTCCCCAGTCTAAGAAGGAAAAGCGCATGCCAGTGAAACTGGAGATCAAGCCTGCCTATGACATTCTGTTCATCTTGGAAGTCTGTTATTACTAGAGAATATACATTGACACTGTGACAAATTTACTTTCAAGGTATTTGGAAAGGTGTCTGTTGGTGGAAATAGATTTCTTATAAACCTAAATCTAAACAAAATAAATATAAAGGGCTATAGAAAACTGAATTTTGAAACCCCTTCAAAAAACAAAAAACAAAACAAAAAAAAATAGCCTGCTGGGCTCAGTGGCCCACCCCTGTAATCCTAGCACTTTGGGAGGCCGAGGCAGGCAGATAACAAAGTGAGGAGATCGAGACCATCCTGACCAACATGGTGAAATCCGTCCCTACTAAAAATACAAAAATTAGCTGGGTAGGTTGGTGGGTGCCTGTAGTCCCAGCTACTTGGGAGGCTAAGGCAAGAGAATTGCTTGAACCCAGGAGGCA